AGACGAACTCGTAATAGGCAATCCGAAGGAAAAGGATTTAACTACTACCTTATGCGATCCTAAATCTTGTTTTCGTCAGTTGTTTCTTCTTCAAATCACTCGAGGTTAAAAAACACGGTAGATCTTGAATAAAAATTTTTAATTGAGAATTCTATTTGTACGGGGTGTTATATCATTTGAGTGCGTAAAAATGAAAACAAAGAAATAAATTTAACCAATCATAAATTTTATTTCCTGATTTTCACACGATTTGTTAAAACAATCTAATTCTGGTCAAATCTCCCAAGGCCAAATGATTTGCAAATTTGACCAGAATTAGATCATTTTGACAAAGTATATCGATATAGGTGATACAAAATTATATACGTATAGTGCGTGATATCTAAAGACTAAAATACAAAAGCTAATATAACTTATAAAAAAAAAAAAAAGCTATTAAATTGTTGCTATGTTATTTGTTACAATTCAGTGTATATATTTTTAATTTATACAGTACAATAATTAACTAGGAAAATGCGTAGCATTGTGAGCCCGGAGCATATCATATGATGATCATCTTATTACACAAACGCGTGAATATGTATATTTTGTTACACTAAATTAACAAATTTGAACACGCGTGCGGACAGACAAAAAATTTCCAAATTACGTTTCTGATATGATCTTCATAACGTTTATGCAGACTTAGTCGAATACAAGAAAGTTCGGGAAATTTAGGAAGAGATGATCAAAAAAGTCACTATTTTTGTATCACTTACCGTATAACTAAAAGACCCTCCGCTACGCTCCGGGCAATTACTCAATCTCATTGTTCACTAAATATTTTGTCAATACGTTCTATCGTGAGAAAAATCGAATGCATTAATCATTAAATTTAATTCAGAAAACCATCCTATTCTAAAGATATGAAAAAAAAAAGACCGAGCATGATCGATCATCGTGATCGATCCTATGAAAATCAAAAAAAAATTTAAACGGGGTAATTGAACTTAACGGCAATAATCACATGAGCAGTTTTTTTATAAATACGATAGTTGTTCGTAGCAGAGTATAACGGAGCGCTAGGATTAATATAAGAATCAAGATCAAAAATGCCTGTAGTGAATTGCCTCGATCATTCTCGATCATTGATTGATGATCGTTATGATTATGTTGATCGATCAAATAGTTGAAATTTGAAGAAAATTTATACAGTAAAAAAAAAAAAATTTAGCCTACACAGGTATTGTTACAATAGAGGTTGTATCCACCCAGGTAACCTGTATAAGATCTATCAACTGGATTATGATTATTGCTACCCGGGTGACTCAGATTAATTATCTTATCTGTAAAGATCTCTTTGTCATATCATTATTAATCTTATTAATGTTAGATATAGTAGTTACATGACATCGTTAAAATCGCGAATGTAATTTTTGACTTTATCTTTCAATGAAAATTTGTTATGATTGTCATATTTCTATAGTTATGTATATTTATTGTAATAAGAGTAATTGAAATTGCAATCAATTCCCAATTATAATAAGTTCCGTGCTATGCTAAACTATAACTGATACACAGGAAGAAAAATCATTGTATCGCGTAATACTATGTACAGTATACTATATTTCTAATCCACCATAATTTATGTGAATAATTGATTAAGCATATCGATATGTATACTGCAGTACTGTATAATTGATTTTTTATTTTTTTTTTTGATCAATTATCGACCAACGATTTTTTTACCGAGTCAATTCACTACTCGTGATTAGTGTTTTTTTTTCGCACTTTTAAAAGCCCCTTCATAATTCGATAATTATTTACTGATTTACGTAACGATGAAAAAGATCAATTCATTAATCATCTGGATCACATGATCTATAAATTTTTTGGGTGGCGATCAACATTATAATTTTTATTAAATGTATAGCTTTATCAAGGTTTTATTAAATAAAAAGGAGTTTATTATATTTAATTTTTTACATTTCAAAACTATCTATTACGCGCCTAATCTTACCAAAAAAGCAGGGTGTAATTTCGAATTTTGGCCTAATTTAAGCCTAATTCGGGCCATTATTCAAACAACGCCCCTGCGCGTTATTTCGCGCTTGTACGGTATGTTGGCTTTCTTTCTTTTAAAGATCATTTACCTTATAAAATTAAAATAACGAGAACTAAACATCATCATCACACCATCCTAACACCATCGGTCATAGTTTCGGAATATGAAGGTCTACAGTTGGTGATTTCCACAAGTTGGATCACTCCAACCAGCGTAACTTACACCTCCACAACGTTCAACCATTTCATTCTTGGAGAGAAATTTTCACCTCTTTTAAGTCTCCAAAAAACTCGATTATTAGCGTGATCTACAAAATAAAAAAATAAAAAAAAGGAGTACAAAATGTCATCATTATACCATCCTGTCACCATTGGTCGTAGTCTCGGAATATGAAGGTCTACAGTTGGATATTTCCACAAGTTGGCCCCTGTGGACTTACTCCAACCAGCGTAATTTACACCTCCACAATGTTCAATCATTTCATGCTCAACGAAGAACGCTCATCAAAAAAATAACAAAGACATTTTGATTATTAGTACGATCTATAAAAGTAAAAAAAGAAAATAATTATTATAAAAATAATCACACCATACTAACACTATTGGTCGTAGTCTTGGGATATGAAGGTATTCAGGTTTTGTAAACGCGTTCAATTTCGTTTGGTTTTGGTGCACCTGTTAGATTTCTAACGCGTTGTTCAAGCGTAAAAAAAATATTGTTTTGTCACAAAAAAAAAAAAACAAAAAAAAAAAACAAAAACACACTTTCATGTTCGATTATTGTTTTTGCTTGTGACTTGGAGAAGAGAGAACTCTCAAGAATTTCAAAATTACAGAAAACGACGACACCGGCGATAATGAATTATATGAGTAAAAGTGAGAGAAGGAATGCAAAAAAAACAAAGAGAAATAAAAACAAACTCACCAAACTTTTTTAAACACCAACTAACAACGATGAGATAGAAATTTAAAAAAAAAAAAAACAATTCATGTCTCAGATTTTATACATATTTGCCTCAAAGGCATTATTAAAATTATCATCATAGACACGACAAGATCCCTCTAATTGTTTCGGAAGGTGAGAACACACCTCCCTATCCCTCTTATTGGTCCGTCAAAAGAGAGAAAAAAGACGGGCTATTTGGATAACGCTGACCAAGCGAACACAATGTTACTCGACGAAGACAGGTAACTATTCGCTTGTGAAGGCAAAACAGTATATCCTCGGAGTGAAAAACGCCAGTCAGCAGAAGCTGAAGAGCGGAACAGTACAAAGACCGTTGTTTTACATCCTTGGGTAAAAATTCGTGTATTTAAACCATATGAAGATTCCCGTGTAACAATAACAAAAATTATCCGGGGATGAAGATTTGGACTGATCTTAATTTCTTAATTCTGGCCAAAATTCGTACATTCCTCAGATTTTGATACAGATACATCTTGACCTACTTTGAAAAATAAAGTAAAACGTGAAGAATGTAATCAAAAGAAAAAAGGAAAAAAAGACTTAATACGCAAGTCTCCAAATATGGAAAACAATACCTTTAAATTGTACGTATCGCGAAAAAACTTCGAATAGTTCCTATAATACGATTAGCTGATTGACATGTGACATAATTTCATGCAAGTTTATGCAAGGTATAAGTTTAGTGTACCATTTGATGGTCCCTGCTGCTATATCAGTATATATTCTCGATTTTTTTCTAGATGATCTTCACAATGATCAAACATTTAATGAAACAACTATCCTCGTTATCATTCGTACTTTCATCCTTGCCTTTATCAAAAAAAACATTATTCGTATGGGGTGTTATACATCTATCCTTAGGGATTGCTCTGTGGTTAAAAGGCCAATGGAATAATGGCTTAGGTATAATATTAACTAATTGCCTACGTTAGTTCGAATAAATATTTATATTTGTTACAATTTTTTTTTAATATACCGGAATAGCTCTTACTGGATTCGCTTATCTCGTAATATTTGATGCGATAGGTGTATTCACAACATTTATTTCATCCGTACTAACAACTTATGAATCACTGCGACTTTCTTCGATACGGAACCCATTCGGGTATGTTATTTCATTTTTATTTAAAATGTATTATAATGGATTTAATTTATTAGGTAATTAAATTTTTTTTTTAATGTTTCTAGTATTCAGCGATTTGAAATACTATTTGGTTTTGTGAATACATTATATCTTTTCTTCGTTGCTTTGTATATGTTAAAGGAAGGATTAGAACATTTCATATTAGAATCAAATTATGAACATTCTAATCTACATAGGTAAATTGTTTTCTTTATATATGTCGATTTTAACTTTGAGCTATTATTAGTTTCTAATCATAATTTTCAAATGATTCGTTATTAGTCACAAAATTCCTATTTTATGGGTGTTACTAGCCATGTGCGCCACGTTAATATCAGCTATCGGTTGTCAAAATCATAAAGGGTTTTGTGCATGTTAGTTAATTTGTTACTTAAGAACATTTGTATATTATAATATCTTTACGCTTACAATATTACTTTATTATAATTAAACAACAGTATCGAGATCTATATCGTTTAATGAAGGAACACATACTTACTATTTACAACCGAATTATAGATTATCAATATTTACTAATTTCATCACAATAGCTTTATTATCGTGTGGCACTGGAGTAATAGTGGTTGGACTTCTACTGGAAAAAAGGTGAGATATTAGTAATTTATTTTTACGGATAAAGTAACAATTGGAAATTAAGGATTAACACCACATTTATTTCATGTTATGGTACACAGCAGAAATTTTGGTTGGTTAGATGAATTAATGTCGATCTTGGAATCGATATTAATGTTTTACATAGCAGTACCAGTAGCGTCTGCATTAGGAAAAATCTTGTTACAAACAACCCCTAGCACTGCATCGAAAAGTTTAGATGATTGTTTACGTGAGGTATTCATTAATTATTAATGAAAGTAAATTTTGTAATTTTGATTTTTTTATTTTTATTTATTTATTTTCATTTTTTTTTATTTTTTTTGCTTTAGATTCTACTTCATCCAACAATTCTATCATTGAATGCTACACATTTCTGGCAAAACTCATATGGACAATTAGTTGGCACACTTCATGTACATGTAAATCCGGACGTTAATGAACAGGCTGTTTTGGCATTCGTATATTCTAGGTTAAGTCCATTATTTACAAATAGTAGTGGTAGTGGTGAATTGACTGTACAGATTGTAAAGTAATTCATTCTTTGTTGTATTCAAAAAAATTCCGTTCCTTTAGAATTATAATTATATTACAGTCAGACCTCTCTAAATGCATAGCTGTGGGGCGGCCAAAAAAACTTGCATTTAGAGAGGTATTGCATTTAAGGAGATAAAAATATATAAGTGTCATATGAGTTGGGGCCAAGCAAGGCCAAGCATTTAGAGAGGTCTTTTATAGACTATGCATTTAAAGAATATGCATTTAGGGAGGTCTGACTGTATCTACTATCCTTTAGAATTATAATAATTATACTATTATATACTAAGAAATAATATATATTACATATAATAATAATTTTAATTTAAATAGTTTGCATGCTAATAAATGAGATAGCAAGATTGTTACTGAATAAATGATTTAGAAAATATGAAAGAAGTAGATTCAGGTCTTGGATAATTTCAGGAAAATTAAATAAGTGTAAATTTGCAAAAATCTGTATTTTTGCAGCAAAATTTTATATAATTTGAAATTTTATACAGAAATAGCATTTAATTTCTGCAGTTATGATTTATTATTTAATTTTTTTGCAAATCTATACAGAACTGCACTAAAAAAAATTTCCTGGTTAATATAAATGTGTAATGATTATTACGTAAATATTTTAAAAATAAAACATAATTCTGAAAGAGGTTTACATATTATCATAAAATTAATAATCAACATTAAATATTGTTTCAACGATAGATCTTTTAATATATATTTATAAAATTCATATTCAAAATTATTACTGTACTTAAATCTTATTTCAAGTAACTATATATAGATTTATTTTTTTGCTAATATATTTTTATTTATTCGTTTTTTTCTATTCTATTTCTTTTCTTTTTTTAATTGTTTCTACTTATTTTTTCTGCTTTTTATCTATTTCTATTTTATCTTTACATCTTTTCTCTACCTCTTTTATATTATAAACAAACTTGAAAATATTTACTATTATAATTAAAACGATTCAAATATACTAATGTAATATCAAGTGTAAAACATTACTCAAAATTTAATTGCAAAAGGTTTTTTAACTATATAAGCTACCAACAGTTTGAGACAGTAAGCAATCAAATTCTATCAAAATGCCTGAGATTTTGATACAAAATGTAAAAAATTGATATTGATAAAAATAAAAAGATTCAAAATTTTAAATATTATATCAAGTGTGAAAATGTTATATAAACAGGTGTAGCCCTAATTTTATAGTAGAGCATAATACCGTCATTTAAATTTTTTGATGCAAATAGAAATCTAAGACAGGTTACCTCCGAATTAATCATCAAAAAATATTATTATCATATCAATGTAAATTTTATTAATAAAAAAAAACTACTGAAAATTTCAATTATTTTTGAATAAAAATGATCCAAACTGAAAATTTGCGACCCTTTATTAAGCATGAATAATATTTTATTCACATATAAGACTGTAGTAAAAACTGAAGACAATTTTAATATTTAAACGAAAATTTTATTTGCGATTATCAATTATAGAAAAGCTCGTAATATTCCAATAGGAAAAAATTACTTCATTATCTCTATCATATACAAATACTATATAATTTTGTAATAACACAACTTTTACATCAAGTAGCTTTTGTATAATGAATAAAAATAAAATTGGAAAAGCCATTTTTGACGATAGCAGCTATGAACAAATTCGAAAAGAATACAAGTACATAAAAAAAAAAAGAATGACCGTTAAAAAAAAGTTGTATAATGCAAATGTTAACAAGAAAATAATTTCATTTTCTTTTAAGTTATTTATAACTAAATATTTTCTTATATTCTTATTGTACAATATAAAAATTTATTATTGTTAATAATAACAATTGAAATCTGAAATTCGGAGATTGACCAAGATTTCTATTTGCATTTTTGATCTAAGGTTGCTTTTAGTAATCAGTAATCTCCGGGAAATCATATTTACTAACTATGAAAAAGGTTATTAAACAGTGCTATAATATAAAATAAGATGATTTATTAAAAAAAAAACTAAATTTATAATTAATTACCTTGATTTTTATCTCCACTGTTAGATGAAATAAACCTACTTTTATAATCTGATTCAATATATTTTTGCATATCTTCATTTTTATTTTTTATCGGATTCAGATAATTCTAATAAAATATTTTCACTACTCTCCCATTTTGCAAAAATATCACAGATTTCCGTTGCTGTTGGTCGTTTTTCTGGTTCTGTATTCCAACATCTTTTCATTAAATCAGCATAACATACTGCCGTATTTTCATAAATAGGTGGTCGTGAACCATTACATACTTGGAACTGAAATTGTAATTCAGATAATTCAGATTTCATAAAACGTATAGGTTTTCCATTTAAAATTTCCCACATAATTATACCGAATGAATAAATATCAGATGCTTTAGTATATGGTTTATTGTTCAACACTTCAGGTGCAATGTATGGTAATATTCCACAAATTCCATTAGATTTTGATTTTAATTCAATATTAGCTGATATTGAAAGTCCTAAATCTGCAATGTATGCACTTTTTAAGCTATTTAATAGTATATTTCCACTATGTAAATCCCGGTGAATAAGATTGTGAGAATGAATTATCTGAAGATCTGATGCAATACATTGTAATAGATTTAATTTATCTTTCCAATCCATTTGCGCTATAGTACGTAGATTTTTTCGCAAACAACCGTATGGAGCATATTCCATGACGAGAATATAATCTTTAGAAACATCATCCTTTGATATACCAAAACATTTTAAAAAAGTTGGATCTTTAAGACCGATATCACAATATGCTTTTAACTTATTAAAAAGAAGTATATATTCAAATTATTAATATATAAATGATAGATCACGATAATATAATTAATAAAAATAATGTTTACCTCTCTTATGAATTCTTCTTGATAATTATTTGATCTATGAAGTAATTTGAACGCAACTGGTCTGATGAAATTTCTACCACTATCAAACCATTCAGCAGCATATACAGTTGCAAATCCACCTTTACCTATCTCAACAATATTTGTAAATTCATTGTAAGTAATCCAAGATAACCGATATTTATTTTCGATCAATATTTTTTTCAAATCATCTTCAACTTCTGAATTATAAGTCCAATTTGTAACTATTATTTATCAATTTTAGATTATACTGTATTAAATAGATTAACAACAATATACAACATATAGCTTAATAAATTAATTATGATAATACCTGACGCTAGTAATGTTAAGTCTTTTTTCCTGAACCTGTAATCGGTGATTTAAAGATATCGATATGAGAGTTATTAAATAAATATAGAGAATTGTGCCATAATAACTAAAATACCAAAATCAGGTGTAGCGATCTTAAACAAAATCTGTTAACTCGAAATAAAATTTTAGTTTAATGTTCTGCCCTAACCCTATTCTAACTCTAACCTTGACTCTAAACTAATATTTTACTTGATTTCGATTACACCTGACCTTATGATTCGCGTCACAACAAATGATTAAACTGAATTTACCTTTGATACCAGTATTTGGCTTTATGCAGATCTCTTGTTATTCCAATTCCATTTCGATAAAAATCCGCAACATTTAACATTCCATTAATGAGCCCCATCTCTGCAGATTTATGATAATAGCTAAATGCCTTATTTTCATCCTTTTCAACTCCAATTCCATTAAAATAACAATATCCAACACCAAGTATTACCCATCTTTGCATATTTTTGAAAATGAATGAATGCTTTATGTTCATCCTTTTCAACTCCAATTCCTCCTTGATAACAATGTCCAACAAAGAATATTCCAGCATCGTTTCCCATCTCTGCTGACTTTTGATAACAAATAAATGCTTTATGTTCATCTTTTTCAACTCCAATTCCTTTGTCATAGCAATATCCAACTTGAAATGTTCCTTCAACGCTCTCCATCTCTGCAGATTTTTGATAATAAATGAATGCCTTACGTTCATCCTTTTCAACTCCAATTCCTTCGGAATAACAATGTCCAACAAAGAATATTCCAAAAGAGT